GGCAGACAATTTGTTTTATTAAAGGAATATTTCCTTCTTCACATTGTAAGCCAAATAGTTTGTACCATACACATCTTGATAAAAGATTCCGCTCTTTTTTCAGATATATTGAATCTGCCCTGCTTTTTAAATACTCTGTCACTTTCCAGTTTCTCTCACCATCCTATTGGCAATGTTTTCTTACTGTAATCTTTTGCCACTTAGGCAGGCCTCAGTGATTTCAGGTGGATGGCAATCCTCAATTCTGTTTACATATTGATGTCTTCTCACACTGTTTTGCATTAGCTTACTCTTAAGGTTTGCCCAAGCTACATATCATCTCTTATTTCAATGCTGGTAGTCCCATTGACTGTCTATCTTAGGTCTTTTTAGCCCTATTATTTTATGTGACATTTGTTAATATGGACTAGTCTACCTTGAAATTATAAAGTTATTGTAGATAAAGTACTATTGTAGATCAGGTAATAGGGGATTTCTTAGATTAAGAAAAAAATATTTTCTTTAGTTATTGGTTGCTTTATCTCACAGCTGAGTAATTGAAAAGTACATAAAAAATTAAAATGTCCAAGAATTGATACTGACTAAATGAACCATGATATATCAGTATAATAGAAGTCTCCAATATATAAATGTCATTTATATATATATATGTATATATATATGATTACTACAAATAAATTGGGAAAATGATTATTTAAATTAACTTTTAGCAAAGAAAATAGAAGGAAAAGAATTACATAAACACTTTGACTATCCAAAAAGAAAACAAACAAACAAACAAACTAGGAATGAATGAACAGAAAATAGAATATAAGATATAGGAGTTACCAATAAAATTTTGTAGATGTATTTGTTTTAGGTAGAAATTCAATTTTGAGTGAGCCTAGATGTAATGCATGCTACTAAGTTTTGCTATTTGAAATTAAGGCCTTTGAATTTTGTGATTAGTTTATTGGGGATGCTCAAAATCACCATTTTAATAGAATGGAAGCCAAATTGGAAGATATTAAGGAATGGGTGCATGGTGAGGCAATGGAAATACAAACAATACAGTATTGGATGAATTTGTTGGTTAATGGAAGAAAAGAGAGAAGCTCAGTTGAGTCTTTCTTTTTCTTGGGGATAGAATGGCCAAGTGATGACTGTTTTTGTTGTTCTTCAGTCATTTCAGTCATGTCTGATTTTTCATGAGCCCATCTGGGGTTTTCTTGGCAAAGATACTGGAGTGGTTTGCCATTTCCTTCTTCGGCTCATTTCACAGATGGGAAAACTGAGGCAAACACAGTTAAATGACTTGCCCAGGATCACACAGCTAGTAAGTGTCTGAGGCTATATTTGAACTCATGAGGATGAATCTTCCTGACTCTAAGGCTAGTGCTCTATCCACTGTACCACCCAACTGCCCAAGTGATAGACAATGTTAAATACTCCTACAATATTACAGATTAGAAAACTCTACATAAGTTGTGGTAGTGAAAATTCTATTTTCCATGAAGAAGCTTGTAATACTTTAGACATATCCCAAAGAATCTCCAAGTAGACATCTGTCAGGGGATTTAGTAATAGAAAAACATAATACAAGAGTGATATATGCCCTGTCACCATCCCTCCCTCTAAACAGATGCCTGCAATTCTCCAGACAGTGCCATGGGTGCCAGACAAGAAACAGCAATGAACAGAATGACCCAAGGGATAAAGATGTGCCTGTACTGCCTTGATCAGCACTGTTATTGAATTTTGTCATCTGGGCTTATGACAGAAACTGAATAATCAGCAAGATATTTACACCCAGGAGATTATCCTTTCTCTCATTTGACTTAAAGTGTCTTCTGAAAGGATTTGCCTTTGCTGATTTCTTCACCACCTGATATTAAACCTGTAATTAAAGTACCATGACTCAGTGAAAGCCTCTTTACTCCTTAGTGATTAGAACTGAGATTGTGTTTCTCTAGACATGAATACAATTATGCTACTAATCCGTCAATCATTCCAGGCCTTTTTAAATTGCTCTACAGAATTACTAGATAGACTGAGACTCAAAAGGGAAATTGAAAGAGTATCTCTCCCATTTCTCTGCCTCCCAGGATGCCATATACATGATGGGTGACATGGATGATTTTGTGTTCTTTAAACTAAGCATGGCAGATGGAATGTATCCAGATGAATGCTGTTCCCTTTGAAGTTGCGGCCCTGAGTGACTTTACACACATTCTAATGATGATGCCATTATTCACTGGGCTTTCAGAATCCCTCCTTCAGAGTATACGGCATGTTCTTCTGACAGTCCACAATGGTGCTGTCCTCATACTGTGAAGAGGTATCTTATTTTTTAGAAATAGTCAGAAGTCATTTGGAGCCAGATCTGTTGAGAGAAATTTCTCTGGAAGGCATTTATTACCAGAATGATTTGAGCACGCTATCACCATTGGCATATGTGCATAGACTTCAAGGGGACAACTTTGAGGGGAAACACACTCATTTGCATTTATAAGTTCTATTTTTTTTTTAATTTTAAAAAAAAGATTTGTAATTTCGTTGGTGTGTACAAATATTTCTCAAACTTTTTAGTCTTGGGACCCTTTTTTACTCTTTTTTTTTTTTAGGCAATTGGGGTTAAGTGACTTGCCCAGGGTCACACAGCTAGTAAATGTCAAGTGTTTGGTCTGAGGCTGGATTTGAACTCAGGTCCTCCTGACTTTAGGGCCAGTGCTCTATCCACTGCACCACCTAGTTGCCCCCCTTTTCTACTCTTAAAAATAATTGAGCCCCCCCCAAGAATTTTTGTTTATGTTGGTTATATCCATCAATATTTCCCATGTTTGAAATTAAAACACCTTAGCATTAATATGAAAATAGTTTTGACTTTTCAGATCCCCCTTAAAATGGTCTTGAGGACCCTAAGGGTCTCTGGGCCTCATGTTTAGAACCATTGGTATATGCAGTTTTCTAGGAGGAAATTGCTATTATCAATGTGGATCTGCAACTGCTCAATAATTTATTGTCTTAGAGAGTTTCTTGGGGCACTGAGAAATTGTCCACTGTCACATGGCCAATGTGTGTTGGTGGCAGGACTTGAATCCAGGTCTTCCAGACTCTGAAGCTAGCTCTCTATCCTTATTACCTTTTATGTATTTATCCATTATTACTTTTTTTATGTATTTTGTCATGTTGGTTAAAACAACAACAAAAACTCACTTCTTGAGAACCAAACTATTATAATTAGAGGCAAATGAAAATTTTTTAAGTTTGACTTTCCACAATGACTAATTTCAAAGGTAAAAATGATCTAGAATTTACCTAGAGTTAAAAGCATGACTCATCATTGAAAAAATATTGAATTCCTTAGTTTCAGTAGAGAAATATTACACACTAATATAAAATGTTAGGCAAATACTTTAAAGTTCAAAAGGGGAGGGGCAGCTAGGTGATGCAGTGGATAGAGCACTGGCCCTGAAGCCAGGAGTACCTGAGTTCAAATCTGGCCTCAGAGCAAACACTTCACACTTACTAGCTGTGTGACCCTGGGCAAGTCACTTAACACCAATTGCCAAAAAAAAAAAATTCAAAAGGGGGAAACAAAAGAGACTGTAGGATAAAGCAATTCAATCCCCCTGCCTGGAGTTTGTGACAACCCTCTTCCAAACTACTTAGAAGTTTTGTCATTTCCCTCAAGGTTCATTGCTTTGTTCTGTGATTGGTGAAGGTTACTAGAAATCAGACAACTGGATAAATGGAGAAATATTGTATTCATTTTTGGAGTATTTTTTCTATTAACTTAATAATGTATTGGCATAAACCCCTCCTCTCCACCTCTCCAAATTCTAGTCATCATTTAAGGTCTCATCCCAACCTTATCTCCTCTAAGAAGCTTTCCCTGTGTACATTACTCCAACATATGTTAACTCTTTCCTTCACTGGTCTTTAAAATTTTACTTAGATTCAGTATTATACCATTTCACCATGATTGTTCTGTCATTGTTGCATTCCTTCTTAATTAAAATATGTGTTCCTTAGGAGTAGGGACCATATATTAGGAGTATGGTATAGTAGATAAATCAGCTAGCTTAGGAGCCAGAAAGACATGAGTTTAAGACCTCCTCTGACATAGACTCACTGTGTGACCAATGGCAAGTCACTTAACATGTCAGTATGGTAGGCCACTTTCTAAGAATATAAGTACCAGAGAAGGTATAGACCTGCATTGAGAGAAAGAGATTCTTCATCTGTCAGTTCCTCATACTAATGAAATCCAGGTCCAGGTCTCATCCTTATTTTCATTTCTTTATAACATCTAACAGAGTGCTCAAAATATTGACTCAGAAAATATTATTTGATCGATGAAGTTTTTAATGAAATATTAATTTTTGTAATTATGTAAGTCATTCTGTTTAATATATATATACATATGTAAACGTTCAATTTAATATTTTATTCTGAACTTGATAAACACCAAATAAAATGGGTATTTTCTTATATTTGGTAGAACTGGAAAAAAGAGGACTATATAAGAAACTGAGAATTTATATATATATATATGTACATATATATGCATATAACTTGCAATCAACATTAAAGGTTTGGGGTCAGAGGAGGGTTTTTTATTTTTATTTTTTAATTTTTTGATATTGAGTCACTCTATCTTACCCAGGCTAGAGGTAAAGTGGCCCATTGACTCAATCCCACTGCAGATCAATACAGAACCTTTGGCCTGCTCCCTTTCTGACCAATGCCAGTTTGCTCTTTATCATAAAGCCTGGAGGTTCCCCCACTCCAGGGATTTGTCATTTTGTTGTGGACTTTGTTTTAGATATCCAATCAGCTTCATCCATCCTGGAGCTTAGAACTTCAAGCTCAGGTAATCCTCTAGTGTCAATGTACCAGTAGGAGGAGTTACGGATGCATGTCATCACACCTTGTTGAGCATCAGATTTCAAATAAATCAATGTGTATTTCTGTAATGATTCAGTCTCTCCCTTTCTGTGTTTCTTTTTCTCTTCTAGTCTGCTCCCAGTTTTCAAGAGGTGTCTATGCTATTTTTGGATTTTATGACAAGAAGTCTGTAAATACCATTACATCCTTTTGTGGAACTCTTCATGTCTCCTTCATCACTCCCAGCTTCCCAACAGATGGAACACATCCGTTTGTCATTCAGATGAGACCTGACCTCAAAGGAGCTCTTCTTAGCTTGATTGAATACTACCAGTGGGACAAATTTGCATACCTTTATGACAGTGATCGAGGTAAGAGGCCATTGATTTTGTTGGATTGGGGTGAGTACAGCTTGCCTGACATTTATGGTAATATATCTAAGTTACAGAACCTCAATGATATATATTAATTTGAATAGTTCTGGGACAAAGGATAAAAATCACATGAGAAATTAATATTTTAATTTTATACTCATTCCACAGCTTTGGGGAGTATCCTAATAGTAAATCTGTGGATTTAAATTTTAGTGTAACTGTCTATAAAATGATGATATGTTTTCATATGAAGTGAAAAATACAGTGTGTCAGTCAGATATTTTGCCCAAAATACCAAACCTATAAATACTTCTAATGTTCCCAAGTGTTACATATACTTGTGCACTGGATATTATGTAGCACCAGTCAAGAATTACTTTACATAATAAATAAGATGATGGCTACTTCTGAGAGGCTTACATAAAATTCAAATAAGCAAAACATAGGAATGTATGTATGCATGTATGTATGTATGCCATGTGTATACACACTTATGTGTATAAGTATCTATCTAAGAGTCTATCTAAGAACATGGTAGAGAGGAGCCTTGACGTGGTGGATAGTGTGTTGACCTCAGTATCAGAAAGTCCTGAGTTCAAGTCTTGTCTCAGGCACATAATAGCTGTGTGACCTTGGCAAGTTGGCTTACCTATCAGTATCCTAAGGTAATCTAGAGGACTATCACTGCTAGAACAGTTGCTAATTTGTATCATTGGTGGGAATTTCCACATTAGGGAGCCCACTACATTGATGAAATCATTATCCTTGGCATTTATGTATGCATGCATGCATGTATGTATATACATATGTGCACATAGATGCATATATATATATTTGTTTATATAATATAGAGATACCTATATGTATGTATACACACATGAATGAATAGATATAAATGTATGTGCATGCCTCTCACTCTATCCCCCCTCTCATCTTTATCTATCTATATGATTTTATTTTTATTTCTCTATCTCTAATTTCAGTCTAATTTTCTTTCCCTATTTCTAATTTTCTATGTATAAATATATGTATTAATACACATAGACACACATATATAGATAGATGTGCACATGTACCTGCATGCATACACATATGCCTACATACATGTACATACCTATATATGTGCACACTGTATATCTATATCTATTAATTTTTCTCTATATACACATACATATACATGCATTTTATATATATATATATTATATATATATGTATATGAAACCACATGCACATATAGACCTTTCTCTCTCCCCCTCTTCCCTGATGGCCTGAATATTGGGGTCCCTATAGTTCTAAAGAAGTACACTAATAGGGTATGCACTCCACATATACATATTTAGAACATACTTATGATTTATTGACATCAGGAACTCCTAAAGAAGAAGCCCTGTCTACTTGGAAGTTTATAGTTTTAGCAAGTTGTCTGGAGCCATGAGAGGTTAATTGATCTGATCATTGCCATAATCCAATAAATACGAGAGGTGGTATTTGAACTCAGATTTTCCTGAAGCCTATACACATACACAAGTATATACACACACATACATACCGAGAAACATTTTATTTATATTGTTATTTCATGGAAGAATTCTAGTGAAAATGTTAGTTGGGTACAACAATAAATCATTGTGCTTGTGCAATTTCAACAATTTTGGAATGCTTTGCTCTTTGCTCCCTCTGTCCTTTTCAGTCAGGTTTAGTTCTTAAAGAAGCCAAGTCAAATCTCCATGTCTGTGGAGACAAGGAGGTTTTTTACAAAGGGTAAACTTCTCCCTAGCAGGCATACTTTGTTGATTAGGCATCTAGAACATCAACAATTCCAAATGAAAACTGGAAAATGTTCTTGCCACAAGATAGGACATCTGGTCATCCAGCAAGGGCAGAAAAAATGGTAGATGCCACTCAATTCTCCATTGATCAATGAGTTGGCCCACATGGGCCAGGCTCCTCTGAGTTAGGACTATTTAGTTAAGGAATCACATAGGATTCTGTGATATCCTTCTGGTCCTGAAAATGATAACATTCCACTGAACAACCAGTACATTAGCTCAAAGAAAGTGTTTGTGTCAACAAATTTCTCATTCAGCTTTAGGAAGGGAGAATATTATTATTCTCATGGGATGGCATAATATCTAGACCAAATGTTGATTCCAATGTGATGAATTATTCCAAAGTAGATACCTTACAAATGTGAGACTAGTATTTATATAGCTCAGCATTTACTGACAATTCCCCCACCCCAACCCCGCCCCCTCCCAGTCTTGCTTTTTGCCAACTCTTGTCCTCTCTGCAGCCTGAAAAGCTTCCCTGTGTAGGAGGGTGTGGAAGGTGTTCTTCCCTGAAGTTGAACTCAGGTTGATGAATACACTAATGGAGGGACTCATAACATTTCTTACATGCCTCTATTCATTCTTCTTAAAATTCATGTTAGGAACTCTTGGTTAGAATTTCTTTTACTAATATAGATTGGCACCTTCTTTTCTGGAAATACTAAATAAAGTTTTAAGTGGTAAGGTTTGAACCATTTAAATCTGCAAATACAATTGAGCTCAAGTATCTCTGATAATAGAAGGATGTTGAAACCAATCCTATACTAAAGTGCTATTAAAAACCCTTCACTTAATCTAAAGACATTGTCAAGTAGCTTTTGATAAATTTTGATTTGAGCATTAAGATGGTGGGTCTTGTCTCTGAAACCTTTCTCAGAAGGACTCTCACACAGTAATTGGGAAATGCCTGACCTCCTCTACCTAATGAGTTATTTGTCTCTTAAAAGCCGTAGCTTTTTTCTGTCTCTTTGCTTCCTTTTCCTTTGGGTCACATTTTGGATGAGAAAGCTAGTTTTTGTATTTTTTTAACACCTATTTTAAACAAAAAGGCAAATACAGCGTAGCAATTGTTATTCTCTTTCAATCACATTATCTCTGACAATGACACCAAGAGTATATGGTTATGCTCCTTGAAGTCAGCCTAAAACCTTAGAGATGTATCACCCCCCAAAAAAAATCCAAGTTTCCCTAAATGATCCATTATAGAGCAATGATTCAACAATTCAACAAAAATTTATTAAGTACCTGCTATGAGTTAGGAGTTATACACTGGGAATACAGAGAGAGAGAGAGAGAGAGAGAGAGAGAGAGAGAGAGAGAGAGAGGAGACTGTTACTTTAGTTAGCTAATTATCCAAATTTTGAAAATATATTTTATATTCACCCTGTAATTTATTACAAACAAGGGAAAAACTAAACTATTTCTCCTATACTAAAAATCCATGTAGTTCCCTCTCTTTCTGGCATTACAAAATATAATGGGTTAGAATGTGGGCTCCTTGAGAGCAGTGACTGACTTTGGAGTCAGAAAGAGTTACATACAAGTCTTGTTTTCTGAAATGCACTATACATGATTTCTGTGTGACCATGACCAAATCGTTCAACCACAGTGAACCAGGCACCTCTGTAAGATTATAAATACCAAAAAGAGCTGCTGATGTGTGGAGATTTTCTGCAATGGGGGGGGCAGATTTTTACATTGGTAAAAATCACAAATTTGGACCAAATGGAATTTACCAAATTATATTTTTTGTAGTGTCTAGATATGGTAAGAATACCATTAATAATATGCATTATATATAATTCCATTCTTTTTCATAAAGTTAATAGGGTGTGTGTTTGTTTAATGTAAGAGAAGCTAGAATGAGAATCACCCTAAACATTTTATCATGATCTAGGACTACAGGATAGGGGAAAAAAATTTAAAAAAAAAATTCAAAAAAATCAGCCACATCACACCTGGTCTTGATAAATCTATCCCAGTGCCTTCAAATGTGACTTTGGTTTAGCTACCAATGTATCATGATTATTAGCTAACTATGTGTTAGGCTTAGTTGTTTTACCTTGCTGAGGGAGTAAAAATATAGTCAGTACTCACAAAATTTCAACTCCCTTGGACTAAGCCTTGGTCTCCTTGCCTGAGTTACATTGCTGCTTGTATCATTTTCATATATTGTTTTATCCCAGAAATTCATTGCAAAGATTTTGGCAATAATAAGTTGGCATCTGGTCCATTAAATATCTTTGCATCCAGATGAGATAGTCATTTCAACTATGGTGGACATTTAATGTTATCCTTATTGATCGTACATCTGTTCCTAATGTGTATAAATGCTAGAGTTGATGATCAATATTTCTTGAGGATCTAAAATTGTGATCCTACTATTAAAAGAGCATAATCTTAGGGCTCAAAGGGACACTTGAGGCCATCCATTCTGATTCCTTTATTTTAGACAAAAGGAAACAGCCCCAAAGATGTCATACAAACAGTAACATGTAAAGCTAGGATTAAAATCATGGTCCTCTGACTCAAAATCAATCCCACTTTCCATTTTACCATGTGTATCACACTCCAAGCTTTGTCAAGAACCCATGTAATGAGAGACTTTGAGAGCAATTCTAATAAAGTGGAGAGAATGTTAAACTTGGAATAATGATGGCCTGGTTTTGAATTCCACTTAGACACATACCAGCTGTGTGATCCCGGGTCAATCATCTAATCTCTCTTTGACTTAGTTTTCCTGTCTGTAAAATCAAATAGTTAGACATGATAACTTCTAAAGTCCCTTTGAGCAGACATATCATATGTGGACCCACCGCTGGCTGCATGTTCAGCTAGCAATTCTCCTAAATGCAGCCAGAAATACGTTAAAATGTAATTGAGAAATACTTAACAAAATAAAATTTAAAAATAATAGACTTAGATAATGTTAATATGTGGTATTCTAAGTCAATATGCAGGCCATTGGGATCCTTATTTATTGTTTAGTGGTCTCCATTTCCATTTGTGTTTAGCACCACTCACTCTCTTAGAGCTTTAGATCTATGAGCCTTTAACCCTATAAAAGTTTGCATTCTGAATTATAAAATGAGTGTGATGATTTTCTGCCTATGTGTAAGACACAGTTTGAGTGTTAGCACTTCCTATTTATGCTTTTTTCTAGCAATTTTAGAGTTTTTGGTTGGTCACAGAATCATGAAGTAATAGGAACATATAGCTAGAGCAAGGAGATGGAACCTTGTAGATAATCTAGTATGATCATCTCATTTTCCAGATAAGAACAGTTAGAGGTACAGGTCTGAGTATTATTGGAAGTTAGCTTTGCTGACTCTTCCTAACCCCAAACTATAATCTTAATCCTAACAGCCATCTTGGAAAGTGAATACTGGTGATTATAAGGAAATGGGCAGAGTAGAAATATTTGAATGACTAAGTATAAATCTATCACCACTTCTGGGGATGGGAGAGAGGAGAATATTTCTCCTTATTCCTCTGATGGTTAATCAGTAGCATTATCTCCAATAATAAAGGATAGTAAATAGTCCACCGATTTATGGATTAGCTACTACTGCCCTACATATAGATTTAATAATATTAGCATTGACTTACCATTAAACTAAATCAATCAAGTCTAAAAATGAACCACTCTAGTAGAGATTTAGCTCTGTAACAAATGGTAGTTTTGTTAGCTTTTCCAGTTACAAATTACCCACTTTAATAATGACAGATTTAAGTCACAGAGATTCAGCACTGACCATTAGTGAGTTTTGGTGTGTGGAATTAATTAGTTTGAAAGTCTGCCACTTTCTTGAATAGATTCTGATTTAAAGAAAAAAAAACATAATTTACATTTTCATTGATAGATAGAACTGCCAAGGAACAGATTGAGAATTATCACTCGATGAAATCCATTTACAAATTGCCCTCCATGCTTGAATCTCCTAGTAGTGCCGGTCAGATGATAGCACTGAATTTCCATGATTACAAATACCATTTCTGTTTAAACCTTTCAGTAATCCTTCAGATGGCCTTAATATTAAAAAAAAAGGTATAGATAAGTTATCTTTAATTTTAATCCGCATTTCCCACACCAGCTATTATTTCAAAGAGAGTGCCTGTTTAGCAGTTGTAGATATAACCTGCAGATGGTATATGGCGATTCCCATTGAATTACTGTTACTACTTTAAGGGCATGAGTCATGGTACTCTACAATCTCCAAAGAACTGAGAATAATTATTATCCAGAAAGGAGTAGAAGTATATAGTGAGTAGGTATATAAGTGGGTATGAGCATGTCAAATAAGGAATTATAAAGGAGAACAAGAATGAAATGTTGTCAAAGAAATGTATGAGCAAAAAAGAAATGAAGTAATCACATCACCATAGCAAGAAATAAAGAGATAAACAATAGACAGATCCTTTGCTCCATTGTTATCTTATGAAGATAAAGTATGGAAAATCATAATCCTAATGGGTTGGCCCCTTGTTATGAACTTAGGGGAGGATACATGCAAGAGGTACACTGGATGGGCAAGTAAGGATGGATTGTGATATGCATCATCCAAACTAATACTTAAAATGATGAGATCACAGAATCATTTTAGTATTTCAGAGAGTATCAAGGGAGAGACACAAGATGATTATGATTTCAGAAATGTATATATAAAGAAAAGGATAAAGGGATTTAGTCTTTAGAACCTGCTGAAGTGAAGACAGAGGGGAATCATATGTATATTCAAGTATGGGAATAGTTACTGTACTAAGCATGATGACTAACTGATTTCCTCCTTCACTGAAGCTGAACAGAAAGGAAATGAGCTTATATTGTAACATAGAAGATTTCATTTACACATAGTGAAGTTGTGAAATTTATGAAGTATTGAGAATGTTCTATCACGAGTTTTTTTATCTCTTTTTCTGAAAGATTTTTGACGAAGTGAAATGCGATCTCAATTTTAAATCAACTTCTGTATTTTCCATTTGCCCCATAAAAGTTTGAAAGGCTTTGTATGATTCTGACTAAATTTGAGTTTTGTTTATATGTACACTCTTTTAATTTTTTTAATTTATTTGATTTTTAATTTATTAAATAAAACAAGCATTTCCTTAACATAGTAGAATTTAAAAAAAGATGATTGCATGTGAAACTACAAATCCATTATGTATAAATTATTATTCCTTTTAAATATATAATAAAGTTATCATGTAACTTTTTTCTTCCCTCCCTTCCCCTGCCCTAGAGATGACTGCCATTAGACAAAAATACATATGCACACATACACATACATACACATACACACATAAATATACACATATATACATACATATATGTGCATATATATATACTTATACACAATCATTCTATGTATCCTTCTATTTATCAAACCTGCCAAAACAAACACAGACACTATATGTGCACTTTTTAATTACTAGTACTCCTAAAAGACCAAAAAGTTACAAAAATATACCATATATGCTACTATCTTTGCAACTTAGATCCAATAGTGGTTTCATTCACCATCTTGAAATAGTGAACTTTATTTTCCACAGTGTGTAAATACTTTCTGTAGCACTAAATAGATTACATTGGAATCTGGAATGGGACTAAATGTCACAGAAATATATCTGATTTTACTGAATGAGGTCTACAATTCACAGAAACATTAATAGTAAAATTAACAATGCTCTTTTGGAGATGGTTCCAACTCTGTTCTTTCTGAAGACAGGGGAATAATTAGAAAAAAAAATCTTCTAATCAATGTCTTCTTGGACTATGATATTGTGTTGTCATGGAAGACTTTTCATAGAATTGTCACATTTTGGCTGCCAAAGACAGTTTTCTCTGTTGCTGAATATAGTAAAAATAATGTCAAAGACCAAGTTATTCTCTCTCTCTTTCTCTCTCTCTTTCTCTCTCTCATTCTCTCTTTCCTCCTCCTTCTGCCTCCCTCCCTCCTTCCTTCCCTCTCTCTCCCTCCCTCACCCCTCTCTCTGTCTCCTTCCCTCCCTCCTTCCTCCTCTCCCTTTCTCCCCTCTTTTTCTCCCTCCCTTCTTCTCTTTTAGTGGCCTGCAGTAGCAGAAAAGGCAAAGGGAAAGCTTAATAGCTGTATTCAAGTATATGAGTCGTCACTGTGTTACCATTGATGACCAGCTGATTTCTTTCTTTATGTGGGTGACATCAAGTAGAAATAGATTTATATTGTAATTTACATATATGGCTTTAATTCATATATATAGGTCACTACATGTATTTATGGAATGCAGGTTTATGTTTTGGGTGAATTATTTAATCCATCAAGCTAATTAGTGTCTTCCTCCCTCTCAAAAGATTGAGTTATAACATGAACAAGAGGCATAGTTCAGATCGTATCACTCCCCTAGGTCAAGAAACTTTAGGGGGCTCCCACTGACCCTTAACCACAATATGAACTTCTCTTTTGTCATTTAAAGCTCTTCACATTTTGACCCCAACCTAGCTTGCCAGACAAACTTTACCTAATTCCTCTTTGTGTGCTCTTCCCTTCAGCCAGTCTGGCTCATGTGTTGTTGTCCATACACAACATTCCATCTGCTATCTCTAGGTCCTTTCTTTGCACGTGCTGTTCCCCCAATCATGGGCCTGGCTCTTCTCTTTTTTTTTTTAATCTCTTATCTCTGCCTTTTACATCTCTAGCATTTTTTCAGTGTTGAACTTGTTTCTCTTCCTGCCTGTGGTCTTTCCTGATCTTAGTGCCCATCTTAGTGCACTGTTCTTAGTGCCCATCCTACTAAAATTACAGTGTATTGTCATTGTAAATATTTTGTATTGATATACCTGTAGGTATATTATTTACCAAAGTTGAATGTAAGTTTCTCAAGAACAAGAACCTTTTTGTCTGTGTATTTTTTTAATCCTCTGTTCCCTAGAACATATTATATGCTGATTGAATAAATGAACAATTAAAATCCTAGTTACATACTATGAAAACATTTGATATAAAGTTATAATGGTTTGGCAATAAACTTACATTAGGGATTAAAATACTCCCCCACTTGGGAAATAAGTTTGTTTGTGCTAAATGGTACACTCCAGGATATGAAATGGTACTCTGGTGACCTGAAAGAACTGATTTGTGTCTTGAAGATGGAGATTTTACTTATGCACCATAGTTTCCTTACTGTGGAATCAGGCCCAATAATGTGAAACTACTACATGATATGATAAAAGGCTTCCTTGAAATTGCTGAGTTAAGCACAATAGAATTTAATAGAGCAGCTTCCATGGGGTAAATACCATCCTTAGCTCTTACAATTGAACAGGCTTTCATCTTGTCAATAACTTACTTGATCCTTCTAAGACAGTAGTGTTGTGGGGGCATTAGAAAGAAGATAGAAAAGATATGAGGTTCAATTCAAGCAGTAAGAAAAGAAACAGGTGATCTAGGCCTTTGATTTCAGAAATATGAAGTAATAAAGGCACTCACAGTTCAGTAATATTATAAAGCAGACATCTGCCTCTGAAGAAGGAATATGCCTTTTCTGCCAAAGAATGCCCCCTTTGCTTAGCAGTGTGGCATCTAAGCACTTTAGTTCACAGATGTGGTTCTGAAATAATCAGATGCTATCAAAGATGTTAGTTGTAGGAAGAAACGTTATCATCTACTTATCTAACAAGCTTGTTAGAGGCATAATAATTAGAAGTTGCATAACATGATTCTGAGCTATTCAAATGATTTTAATGTTTTTTAAATTTTTATTTCTTAAATTTGTGCCCTCCCAGGCTTATCAACATTGCAAGCTGTCCTGGATTCTGCTGCTGAGAAGAAATGGCAAGTGACTGCTATCAATGTAGGGAATATTAACAATGACAGGAAAGATGAAACCTACCGGTCCCTGTTTCAAGATCTAGAAGTGAAAAAGGAAAGGCGCGTAATTCTCGACTGTGAGCGTGACAAAGTCAATGACATTGTAGACCAAGTAGGTGATGCTACTTTTTTTTTCATCTATGACCCCCAGATATAGAATTCTGGTGCAAAGTCAGCAGCTACAACAAGCATTGGGGGGAGTCTTGCATGAACAGCAGTTTTTGCTTTATGGCTTCAGTGTGACACAGCATAAGCCATCATTTAAATTATCCATGGCATCAGCTGGCAATAGCAGTGCTCTAAGATAATGCTGACCCAGCGGCTTGATGATTTTGACTATTAACTAAAACCTAGTATAATATGAGTTTTCTTATAAATTACCTTGCTTTTGTTTGCCCCATGAGGAATCTAAATTTAATACCTGGCCTTTATTTGTCCCATGCTTGGTCTTTATTTTATGTAATATTTCTCAAATTTGGACATTTTTTCATGGACACTTGCCATTTATGCATTTTAGATTGCAAAAGTTTTCTGCTACAATTAAAGAAAGACAAATTAAATCATAGTCAGTCAACAAGTATTTGTTAAGCACTTTCCTATATATCAGGCATTGTGCTAAGCACTGGGGATGCAAAGAAAGACAAAAACACAGACTTTGCTCTCAAGAAGCCCACATTCTAGTAGGGGAATCAATAAGCAAATATCTGGTTATATACAAGGTATACACTGTATATATGAAATGTTACATCACAAAAGGAGACTTTGCTTGGAGCGTGTTAGGTCTAGAAAACGAAGAGATATCACAGACCAATTCACTCATTTTATAGGTAGGGGAGCCAAGGCCAAGGGAGGTTTAGTAACTTGCCTAAGAACGCAGAAGTGGTAAAATGTCGGAAGGGGACTCTGATTCCAAAGTTGTTGCTCTATCACCTGTACCCCATGGACTCAGAAAGAATGCTCACCTTTAGCAGTTAGCCATATAGCTGGTTTTCCTTTGGTTCCATAGTTCATAGTCTCTAAAATTAGCCTTTTAGGGGTTCCATTCCCTGTATAGCAGTAAAGATAGGTACTTTAAAAACATTCTGCAAAAGGATGATAGTTTTTGGAACATGGCTTTTATGGGACTCAACCCAACAGTTGAATGACCTTGTACTGTCCCTATGCTCTCCAAAGTCCATAGATGATAAAGGAGTCAATTTTTTTTTATTCTTGGGATATATTTGTGTTTTGGAACATTTGTTTCCTATTTACAGCACTGAAAAAAGTAATTTTCTATTTTTTTTTTAGGCAATTGAGGTTAAGTGACTTGCCTAGGGTCACACAGCTAGCATGTGTCAAGTGTTTGCTCTGAGGACGAATTTGAACTCAGGTCCTTCTGACTTCAGAGCTGGTGCTCTATCCACTGCATCACCTAACTGCCCCAAGAAGTAATTTTCTAAATAAACCCATGTCACTTGCAGGAGTCAAGCACAAAGTAGGTGATAGGACTGTTGGGTTTTCTTAGATTAGAGTTGTGTGGTTATAGAGGTTTTATCTTCATGTACACACATTAGGTAACAAGAAAACCTACTACCTTGTGCCTGAAATGTTGGCCTTTTAACCCTAGCTGACCTGGGAACCTGTGGACACATAAACACCTGTGAAATCTGTGCTCATGGCCAGTGTTCCACTAGTTATCCAAAGTTTCTTGAGCTAGGGGAGTGACATGATCTGAACAATGCCTGTTTTTTGTGTTATCACCCATTCTCTTGAGAGAGATGAAGATACCCTTGCCTATTAACATTTTATCAATAAATATATCTATTTTTTTTTTGTTAAGTGTGTGTGCCCAGACACAAGAATTACTTTTTTTTTCCCTTCTCTCTGATGAGATCAAGGTCAATTAATGGAAAAAAAATAACATGAAAACATGCATAGTAGAGACACATTTAAATATATGCAGATAGATGATAAATAGATGCATAGTTAGACAAATGGATGATAGATATTTAAATAGGCAGGCAGATAAATTGTTATGGTTAGGAGAGCTAGAACCACTATACAGCATCCTGAATGAATCACTAGATGAATCATTTACTGACACCATCTGAGAGTAGGTTTGGAACAGGAGGTTGAGGAAGTTACTAAAAGGAAAGGTGAAAGGATCTGGCTGCAATGCTTGAATTCTTTTTAGGCTGAGAATGAAAAGTAGGTCCATTAATTTGTAAAGCACAAAAAAAATTGCAAACATAAATATCAATAAAGTCTTAATTGATATATAACAATACCTTCCCTAGGACAGTTAGGTGGCTCAGTGAATACAGTGTCAGACCTGGAGTCAGGAAAACATGAGTTCATATCTGGCCTCAAATGCTTACTAGCTGTGTAACTCTGCGCAAGTCACTTAACTCTGTTTGCCTCAGTTCCTAATCCGTGAAATGAGCTGGAGAAGGGAATAGTAAACCACTCCAGCAACTTTGCCACAAAAAACCCAAATGGGGTCATGAAGAGCCAGACACAACTGAAAACAACTGAACAGACAGTATGCTACCCCTAAGAAACACAGAATAGGACTCCCATTAAATTTCAAATAACTGAAAAAAGCAAAATGATTATGAGAAAAAAAAACAAAATGATTATGAGAAAAAATATCAAAATGGTATATGCCAGAGAGATGTCCAATTTGGTCAATCTTTTCTAGTCTCTGGAGTTGAAGGCATAACTGCTTTTAACCTGGAGCCCTTATATATAAATATATATATATATATATATTTATATTTATATATATATGTGAAATTCTAGAACCTGGTTAGATATTCACAGGAGTGACTTTTTAGATTGGATTTTAATATTTTTAAAGTCCTAAGATTATAGAAGAGATAGTTATCATCTATCATAAAAAAATCTGATGAAAGCCTAGATGAAACTACCGCTAGTACATTACCATTTTACCTCATAATCCTTGCTAATCAGACACTAAGTTCTGTTGTTTCAACTTCCTAAAGGAATTTATATTGTCAGCACCCTTTTAAAATTTCATTCCTCCAAGCAAAGCATTAGTCTTCATATTCTTGCAATTCTATACATTATCACCTTAGCTGGAAACTACACACACACACACACACACACACACACATATAATACATATAATATCAACAACATACCCTATTATACCTATTGAATCCAGAGTATTTGGTAATATGCATCAAAAATAGGAATTTGACAGAGCTCTGATACATATTTCAGAATACATTTTAAAACCTTGTGCTAATGATTCTACACAGCATAGGGGGCTGTCACTAGTCCTTTCATCAAAAAATGGTTTCCATGGTAGCATGCATTTTGAAGTACAAAAATTCCCTGTAGGTGGGGAAAAGTAAGGAATATAATTTCTTCATATGAAAGCATGGTGTATTGTTGTTGCCAATTCATTTATAAGATATAATAGCTTGCCTGGTTCATGTAGGTTGAGGGGAAGAGAACTTATTATTATTATTTTCATTTACATAACACTTTAAAGTTCATGAAATACTTTACATATATTACTTCATTTGATCTTAACAACAGCCCCATGAGCAGGTGCTATTATTATCCCTATTTTATAGATGAAAAAACTGAGTAAGACTGAGATTAAGTGACTTGCCTATGGCAATCTAATTGATAAACATCAGACACTAGATTCAAACCTCTTACTGCAAATTAGTAATTATGGTGAAGTAAAAATGGCTCTGGATTCAATATCAGAGGCCTTTGGTTTGGATCCTGGCTCTGGCACTCCCAAATTGTATTTCCTTACCTTGGACATATGACATCATCACTGGGTTCCTCAGTTTCCTCATTTATAAAATGAAGATTGGGGGGAGGGAAAATCACTTCTGAGGTCCCTTCCTGCTCTAAATTTTTGCTTTCTAATTTGGATCTATTTAGGCTTGTCACATTCATACAGTATAATGTCTCTTGTTAACATAATGCTACTAATTGTTTATAAGCTGAAGAAATGTCAATGAAAAGTGGTTCTCATGGCTTCATTATCTTCTTCCTTATAGACACTAAAATGCAGGCTCCTCATTAACCTCGTATTTTATCTCATCACTCAGAAAGAAAGATTTGATTTTTTTGATATTCTTAAGATTTTGTAAGCACAGTTAGCAATTGTTAGTATGAAATGGTCAGGTTTTCTCATCGCAGATTCATTCCTGTCACCCTCCCCCCCACCGCCAACACATAAATATACATAGTCTATATTTCCTTGGTATAGGAAACTCCTAGATGAGGAAGCCCCTTGCCAATGCAGATTGGCATCTTCTTCTATAGACTTAGAGTATTTTCTGGCACACTGAGTAGTTGAATGACTTGCCCAGTGTTTAATAACCAGTTTCTGTCAAAAGCTGAAGCTTAACATAGGTCTCACTGACCCCAAATCTAACAACTTAAGTACTATGCTAAGTACCATAGGTAGCTACATGCTTCAGTGGATAGAGTGCTGGACTTGGGAGTCAGGAAGAGCTGAGTTTAAATCCTAACACTTACTAGTTTTTTTGACCCTGGGTATGTAATTATACCTGTTTGCCTCAGTTTCCTCATGTGTAAAAATGAGCTGGAGAAGGAATTGGCAAACCAGGCCAATATCTTTGTAGGAAAACCTCAAATGTGGTCATAAAAAAGTTGAACATGACTGAAACGACTGAACAGCAATAAGAACAAGTCATCTAACATCTCTGTGACTCACTTTCTCATCTGCAAAATGGGAAGAAAAACACTTGCATCATCTCCATAATAAGAATTTTTGAGGAAAAATAATTTTAAATTACAAAACACAGAGACCATATGATGGGTATGGATAGACAGCTTCGGAGTCAGGAAGACATGCTAGACGTGTGGACACAGCAGTGCCACAGACAAATCTCTAAGACTATAAGCTACAGATAAGTTCTCATCTGCACTAGTGGAATGAGTTTCCACACTAGAAGTTGTCTATATCAGTTAAATTAAAGATATGCCCTTTCTCTGTTAAAGCACAATGTAAAAATGAACTATTAATAACTAACTTTTTGACTTTTAGGCCTACAACCCTACATAAAATCACAATAAATTTTATGCTAGCATGCAGAGAAGTAAAGCAGACCAGGGGGTGACCATATTGTTCATTTCACGTCTTCTCACAACTACTACCAAATTCAAGTGAACAAGTTGAATCACCAGAAAAGTGCATGTTTCACCTGAGTCTAGGTATTTTGGACAAATTTTTATTAAAAATCAGCTCAGTTTTGAGGTTATTTATTTTAGGTTATGATTCAATTTGGTAACAGTGATATTTGTATAAACTGTACCATAAAAAGTTCAAAAAGATCTTTTGAGAATTGAGGCAGTCTTACAGTCCTGAATTTCATTTTTCTATGCCCACAGCTGTTCCCACAAATTCAACCTATAATTTTTGAAGATATGCTTGGGTGTCTAATATTTTGAAAGCAGAGAATAAGTGGACAAACACACTGAATCTTAAAATTCAGATGTAAATAGTTTTGTGACATTTTATGCAAACTAATTTTATGCATTTAAGAAAGGACAGAGATTAAGAAGTCTTTAAATTTTTGTGGACACTTCTTAGTTTCGTATAAATATCTTAAATTTTCTATTGTTTCCATTTTCATGTGACTTAAAAGTACACACAGATTTCTGTCCCTCTCTGTCACTGAGGTTTGGAGGGGTTCAAGGGAAAGATAGAGATAATATGAAACAAACAATAACATATTTATATTCCAATTTACAAGACAATAAATATAGAGCCTGAAAATTTGTCATATTTTCCTCAAGGGAACTTAGAACTCTTGCAGAAGACCATAGGATGCATCATTGATGAAGAAAGCAAGTCCCCAAGAAGCAAAATGACTTGCTCAATTTCACAATGTAGTAAATGACAGAGCTGAGATTTGAACTCAATTCCATTGACTCCAAATTTAGTTCTATTTTTAGTTTACCACAGTGATTGATTTGTATTCTATTACTAAGCTGACTTCATCTGAGGACATACAAAATATAATGTTTAATTTATAATAATTAATGATATCAGTCACCACAAGTTAAATCAATGTTCAGAACATTTATTAAGGGATAATTTTTGTTTCTCTTTGACAGGTTATTACCATTGGAAAACATGTTAAAGGGTACCATTATATCATTGCTAATCTGGTAGGTGAAATTATTAATACTGTTTATTTTAGTAGAAGTAAGCATTCAATTGAGGAGGTATTTTTGAATGCATGAAATGTGTCTAGAACAACTCAGAAATATATTTAAAAGCTATTTTGATTATATCTGTTTCTGCAGATGAACAAAATCACTTGTTTTTCATGTTTTACAAATCACTAGTCATTTTCCTCTGGTTATAAATAATATAAGAAATGTGAAAAAGTAGTTAGGAGATATGAATTATTAATCATCTAGGAAGCAAGGGACCATGTCTTCTTTATCTGTGTATTTTCCTCCTCTAACCTCTACCATCATACCTTGCACAGCACACTGTACATAGTAGTTTTTTAATAATTTATCTCTTGAATAAATACTCATTTAAATATTCATATTTAGCAAAGATGATTTCTTTTGCCTTAAAAAAGATAATCAATTTGTCTTAACTATTTCTCTCTTCTTCATTTTCAAAAATTGGTCAACTTCTATCTTTTTTACTATACTAATAGCATGAGTTTATTATGTTAATATGTGAAGAAGATGTACAATAGTTATTGCTTAGCAACTAAGTAACAAACATAATAAACATACATTTAAATTGGACTGAACCTTCATGGACTTCTCAGATTTGGAGATTGTGATATTTCCTTGCCTTAGGAGAAGGACAAAATACTTTAAGTCCCAGAATCTCTGCAGGTCCAAGCTATTCTTACCACCTCTAGGAGAGCTGTTACAATAGAACCAGGAAAGATATTGAGTCCTGATAAGGAATTTTTCTTTAATGAGGGAATCAGACATTTCATATTATGAGAAGTATAATTATAGCTGAGTTCTAATAAATCAATATTGTCAATTTTTCATCTATCCCTTTGTCAAGCTATGTTTGTGCCAAATACTAAAAATGACAAGTCTCATTTTCTCCTGTAAGAACATCTCCTTATTTAAATCAATTCAACTAAAATTATTAAACTTTTACCATATCTTTTAGACACTATGAAAAGGAAACAAGAAAAATAGTTCCTCCTCTTGAGTAGTTTACATACTACTGTGGGGATATGCAATATGTATAGAAAAATAAATGCAGATTAGTATGAGGAGAGAGACAGAGAGAGAGAGAGAGAGAGAAGGGGGTGGGAATACTAGTAACTGAGGGAATTGGCAGAGGCTTCATGGAGAAGAAAGTAGTAGATAAACTTGCCCTTAAAGAAAGTTAGGCACTGAGACAGGTCTGCGATGAGGAAGGACTGTATTTTAGACATGAGCTACACCTTGAATGAATGTATAGAGAGGACAAGTGTAGTGTTTTTGAAGAAGTGCTAATAGTTCAGTTTGACTGGACTTGAGAGTACATGATTTAGTTCAGTAGGAAGTCTGGAAAGATATATAGGAGCTGGACAGCAGAAGTAGAGGAATCTGAATACCAAGTTGATGAGTTCATATTTTATGCTAAAGACAGTAGGAAGTGATTGAAAATTTTTGATGAAGGAGGTGACATTGTTAGACCTACACCTAAAAAGATTATCTAGGTCATTGTGTGTTTAATACATTGGAGAATGAAGGAATTGAAAACAGGAGGAAAATCAGAAAGCTATTAAAGTAATTCAGATGAGAGGTATGAACTAGGGCAGCAGTCTTTTGAGTGGAGAGTTGGCAAGAAGAATTGTGGAAATAGACTTAACAGGCATTGTCAACTGATTTAATATGGAGGACAAGGGAAAGAGAAAAGTTTAGAATCATTCTGGGATTATAAACCTAAGAGACTAAAGGAATGTTGGTGTCCTCAACAGAAATTAGAAAGTTTGGAGAATGGTTAGTCTTAAGTGGGGGTAAGGTGTGTAGAGATAACAATGTGTTTTAAACTTAAGGAGTTTGAGATGTCTATGGAACATTGATGAGTAGATTCCAACAATCACATGGTGATTTAGTATGTAGATTTTGGAATCATCTTCATTGAGATAATAAGTGAGCTCATGGGATTAGACAAGATCACCAGAGAAAAGAGTATTGAGACAGTTGAAAAGAGGACTGAGGACCAAGTCTTTGGAGAAAGGGATGAGGATTTGGCAAAGAATGCTGAGAAGGAGCTCTGAGGTAGTTAGGCAGAGAAGCAGTAAAGAATAGTATCAAGGAAGCTAAGAGAGAAGAAAATAACTGGGCTTCAGTAAAATCACCATTAGCAGCTATCTGATTTATTAACAGTATCAAATAACAAATACACATAAATAAGCACATAAGCATTATATAATCTGTGATAGAACTCTAGCATGTATTCGCTTCTGAGTTCTTGGAAATCAAGGAAAAAACGATTAGAAATCACATCACCAAGCATTACCAACCACCCCCTGCTGTTCAGCCTGGTCTCATCTCCACTATAGTTTTGGGAACAGATCCAGGCACTAATCTGCTGGTGTCTTACCTCTCACTTCTCCGATTCTCTATGTGCTGCTCTAAAGCTTGGGTGAAAGCGTCTTTCTACAAAAACACTGGACCCAAATAAACAACAACCCTAACAAACAATAAAAAATCTGAGCATCCCCAAGAGCATGCCAACAGTTTAGCCCCAGTGTCATGTCTCAGTATGTCCTCAGAAAGGAGGACAGTTCTCAGAATGTCTGGTCAGTTCTCTTCAAATAATTCTCTCCTCTGAAGCTCCCCAAAGTCTCTGTGAAGGGAGAATGAAGTGTTAACTTGGCTCAATTTATACACTAACAACAGAATTTAAAGAATAATAACTTTGAAGTTCTTGAGAACTCTGATCAACTACAATTCCAGAGGAGCAGTGATGAATCATGCTGCCCACCTCCTGACAGAGATGTAATGCAGAACGATAAATACACTTTTGGACATGGGCAATGTAGGAATTTATTTTGCTTGATGACTCATATTTGTTACAATGATTTTAGTTTTCTTTTTTTCAGCTTTTGGGAGTGGTAAGAGGGAAAGGGAGCCCAGGGAGAGGGCAGTCAAAAAAAAAGAAAGAAAGAAAGAAAGAAAGAAAGAAAGAAAGAAAGGAAAAGAAAGATCGTCATTGAAGTACTTAAAAATGCACAGAAGAGAGCATAAGAAGGGCCAGAAAGAATCAGAGACCAGAAGATAAGCTTTTAAAGTTACCTGTTTAATTTATGAAATATTTAAAAGAAAAAATAAGCCACACAGAATAGATGTTTGTAGTTTCATGTATAATATTTTTTCTTTTTCTCTTCTATTATATACATAATTTATTTTTGTGATTGTTAAATTAAGAATTTGAAAAGAAAAAAAACCTCTGTGATCCAATTAAATCAGATATTTGTAACCTAGAGTCCTTGAATGATTTTTAAAATATTTTAATGATGTTATTTCAATATAATTCATTTTCGTTGTATTCTGAAATATTTTTAATGTATTTAAATTACTTATTCTGATGAGGGGCCATAGACTTCACCAGATTGTTGAAGGGGTCTCTGACACAAAAAAGACTAGCAACCCTTGCTTGAAAGCTATAGAATCTTTATCCAAATTATCTGTCATCTTGGGTTTTGGCAACTCAACTCTACAGATAAATCACAGATGCAAAGGTCTGATCATGGTACTACAAAGGAAAATAATTAAAAAAAAATTTTACATAAAGTTTTTGTGATTGTTTTTTTCACCCCACCTTCCACAATATGCCTTCCCTTGTAACAGAATAAAAATCTGTTTCTGAGATATCTGTAATGCAAAGTATGCTCAGGGACAATCAAAACACCCAGCTCACTCAGTGCTACTGGATCATCATCTCCTTATTAATTTCCTTTCTCATCAGGTTCAAAAGTAGTGTAGTCCAGTGGAAAGAGTATTGGATTTAGAGTCAAAGGACTAGTATCTAATCTTCACTTTGCTACTTCATACCCATGTGACCTTGAACATGCTAATTAAGTTTTTTGGTCTTTAGTTCCTCATCTGTATAATTGGAAAATTGGATTTGATGGTCCTTCTAACTCTAATTCTGATTTCCTTCTAACTCTAAGTTTTTGATTCTGTATCCTAGTCAGAAAACTCTTTAAAACCTTCAGAAATTACTCAAGTTCCAGAAACCTTCTCTTTAATTGGCCCTGATCCCAGAGTAAGCTGAGCAAATCTCTTCTCTAAGAAGCTGATTCTCTTCTCCCAACATGAAACCCCAAATTTAGAGGCATAAACAGAATCACCATTAATGACCATGTATTTTATGAACACTATCAAATAATACACATATTTAAAATGAGATTTAAATGACTGCAATGACTTTCAAAGTGGAAGTCACTTCATTTCATATCATTTGGGAAATACTGGCGCTTTTAACTGTAATTTCACTTCCAAACTGCCATCTGCTATTTGAATGGTCTCAACTTCAGTCCACTTCTAATGTGAACTTGTCTGTTTTCTTTTTATGCCTCAGCCTCAGTCTAGGGGCTCATCTGCTTATTTCTTATCTTGTTTCTCTATAGCCCATGTGCTGGGCTTGGAGTCTGAAAGACCTAGTTCAAATCCAGCCTTGGACACTTAGTAGCTGTGTGACCCTGGGCAAGTCACTTAACCACTGTTTGCCTTAGTACACTGGAGAAAGAAATGGCAAACCACTTCAGTAGCTATGACAATAAAACCCCATTGACAATATGGTCCATGGGTAGACATAACTGAACAACAACTTCAGGTCAAGACCTGTATCTACCCACTGTACCCTATAGCTTCCATTTCCATAACCAAGAACCATGTATGGTGTGCTATGAGCTCAACAAAACAAATAAGAGACAGAACTTGCCCACTAATCACTTTTAATGAAAGGGATGTTACGTAAGTAACAAACACTGAGTAGGTACCTAGTTCAGCAATCAATCAATGGGCATTATTGCCCCCTTACTATGTGGCTGGTCCTATGCTCAATGCAAATATGAGCACAGACTCATAAATACATGGAATATTCTCCATGAGTTTTGCAGCCTGTGTTATGAAAGATGCGGCCCTACAGCAAGTGTGATGTGATTGGATAACTTTTGACTTTGGGGATTTATCTAGAGCGACTAAACTGATGTGGTATGTTCTCTGCCCAGGGATTTACTGATGGAGATTTATCAAAAATTCAATTTGGAGGAGCAAATGTCTCAGGATTTCAGATCGTTGACTATGAAGATTCTCTAGTGTCCAAGTTTGTGCAGAGATGGTCAACACTGGAGGAAAAGGAATATCCTGGAGCTCACACGAGTACAATTAAGGTTAGCTTCTTTTTGCCTGCTTGTTTATTTGTTTGTTCGTTTTTGGTTTGAATCAGTGAGAGGTTAAAATGAGCTTAATATTATTTATGGTTTCAACATTGTGGACAGTGTGATTTTATTACTTTATTCCATTTGTCTTAACTATGATTACTTACAGGGAGTGGAGAACAAAATAAATAATAAGCAAAGCTCATAACATGGCCCATATCTTTTATCAAACCTCTATTTTCTTCCTGGGGATTTGATTTCCTGGGGACTGATGAAGTAGAAGTCCATTAGTGCCCTGTTTCCTTACATTCATTCATTGATTCATTCATCAATTCATGTATCTATTGTTGATTCATCTATTTATTCATTTATTTATTAGTTTATGTGTTTGTTAATTTATTTACATAGTTGTGGCTATGATTTGTAGACAACTTCTCACTGAGGAAATTCCCTCTATCAATGAAGATCATCAGCTGTTTTATAAATCACATTCTCAGACAGTTTGTTGGAGCTCTGAGTTTAGGTGACTTGTCCAGTGTCACAAAGCAAGTATTTTATTAGATGGGGGGATCTGAAAATAGATTTTTCTGATTTTGAGGCCAGGTTCCTATTCTCTAAGCCTTGCATCTTCTTACTCACCTTCATAAATCTACATAATAATAGTAATATATCATATTTATATAATACTTAAAGGTTCACAGAGTACTTTAGATATATTCCCCCCCTCACAGTGCCCATAACAACTATGTGGTATATGCCATTATTATCCCAGTTTTCAAGGATGAGTGATTGAGAGGTTAAATGACCTGACTAAGATCATAGATTAATGAAGCAGTATTGGAAGAAAGATCTTTTTCATTCTAAGGCCAGAGCTCTATGCACTAAACTAAGCTTCCTTATGGCATGGTGGGTGGATTTTGGCAGATTGTGTGGGATGTGATCTAGTAGCAGAAAGGGGAAAAAAATCCATCTGTGTTACCCATTTTGCACGTAGATGGCTTGCACAATGCAAAGAGAATACTGAGTGCATATTTCCTTGTGATCACTTGGTCCCTGGGGGTCTTTAGGAAATAGATGAATCTTCTTTTGGTCTCATTTAGAAAAAGATACTCCTCCAACCTATGAAACAACTAAAGAATCAGTCAGTAAATGATTGTCAATTGTGTGTAAAGCATAAAAGCAGGGTTTGGCAAAATAAATGGTACTCAGATGAATCATAAATAATCTCTCTAGTGAAATCTTTGTTTTGCACATAAGTAATTAATCCAGTGGTTTTACACTTTGTGTATTGTGCATATTTTATTTTGCATATATATACACATCTATTTAGACTCACATATTAACTCTTTTTTTGTCACTAAAGCTTTTTTCTTCATTTATTTATAAAGAGAATAATCAGTCAAATGACTTCTCTTTTGTTGATGTATCTTATGCAGCTGACCATCTAAACTTTGAATATATATTTTATTTTTTAACATTGAAAAGTCTCATAATATCTACAGTGGATGAATGGGGTGGACTTTTATTTTCTTGAGAACTCAGGAGAATTTGCTTATATATGTATGTATATAAATGTTATGCATTTATACAAATAATATTTGTGTATATATTTGTATGTATAAATATATGACTATCATACGTGTATACATCTGTGTACATATATATTTACCTCATTGATTATTCCCAATGAATATTTATTATTTTTTTCTTCCTGAATTTTTTAAAAAAGATTTCTAAGTAGTCATAGAATCATAGAATGTTTGAGTGGGAGGAATCTTAGAGATTATTTAGTCCAAACTCCTCATTTTATGTATGAGGAAACAGGCTTAGAGAGGTAATATGAGTCACTCTAAGTCCAGGCATGAACTGCTAATTAAAACTCTACAATTCTTCCATTTATATGCACTTGAAAATAATTATTTTATAGTTAAATGAATAAATATAACTAAATTGTTACCACAGTTGCAAAAATGCACTGAAATATTTACTTACAAGTATGATGCTATGTTTCTCCCCAGCACAAAGTCATTCTCTCTCTGCATATTGGGCAATATAGAAGAAGCATTGATTTAGAATTTTATGGCATTTTAAAGATCACTTAGACCAACCCTTTCAGTTTACAGTTAAAGAAACCAAGCACCAGAGAGGTTCTTGGCATCACAGATTTAAAGCTGGAAGACATATTAGAGGTCAGTGAGTCCAAACTCATCTTATTTTTTTACAGATGAGGAAAAAAAGTCACAAGGTGAGGCGTTCTCTCAAGGTCACCCAAGTGATTACTGTTGCAGCTAGGCTATGAACTCAATCCTTTGGTTCCAGATCTAGGATTCTTTCCATTGCATTGGGGATTAGCAGTGGATACAGCACTAGATCTGAAGTTAGAAAGACTTGAATTAAAATCTACCCTCAGACACTTACTAGCTGTGTGATCCTAGGCAATTTCTGTCTGCCTCCAAGTCTTCAACTGTAAAATGGGGATAATAATAGCACCTACCTCCCAAGGTTGGCATGAGGATATAATGAGATATGCTTAGCACAGTGCCTATTATATAGTACAAAAGTGATTAAAAATGCTTATTCTTTTACCTTCTATGGTGATTAGCAGTCTTTAAACACTGTGCAGACCAACATTAGATTGGAATTCGCCCTCACATACTCAATAGTATCCAGAAAAGGTGTCAGATTTCAGAACTTGGAAAAGCTGAGTCAACATTGAAACCACTTTTCCTTGTGCACAAAGACATTTCCATGTATCCTGACCTTGCAGGAACAGAGCCACACACCCTTTTGCATAGCAGTTTGGCATTGTGTACTAATTCAGTCTAGAAAAGGTGGGGGAATGAACCCAAGAATTTTTCAAGATTGAGAGAATCAACTCTTTGGAGTGTATATGGGATGCTTCTATTATCAAGTAGGGATTCATGTAGCATTACTAATTACAACAAACCTTTGCTGAAAAGTACAGGCAGTGATTGACTATTGAACTGTCTCCTTTTCCTATGGGAGCCAATTAGGAAGGCTCAATAAGAGACCAACAGATGAGTGAGATTTTTTGTTCAGTGTGATATTAACCTTCTTTCATTCTGTAATTAGATAGACAGTATAAGACAAGAAAATGAAGGATGTTGAGTTTTGTGTTTTTTTTTTTAAATGTACAATATGAAGTTAAAATAGACCTAAATATGGTTGTGGAAAAGAAAAAAAAATCCCTATTTGTGATTGTGAAAAAAAAAATAGATAACAATAGACAGTGGAAAGGATCCTGAATTTGAAGCCAAAAGACCTGCGTTCAGGTCCACACTATGCTATTTACTACCTATGTGTTAGCTTCTCTGTGTCTGTCTGTATGTTTTATCTTAAACATTAAATATAAAGCCATGGAATTTTGTTCTCTTGGCTTTTTAAAGATCCTTATGCTTTTCTAAAAATTAAATTCATAAAACCCCAACATTATATTAAAAGGCAGCTTTATTTTCTGCTATTCATTGAGAACCAAGGAAGGTTTGGTTTGATCACCTGCACTGAGACACAGCATTTATGGTTTTGATAGATATAAGTTTCAAAGAACTGAAATCATCGCTGCTTCTCTACATTCATCTTTAGATATTAGCACTTCTACAGATGGTTAAGCATGCTTCTGACAACTCAAATAGACATTGGCTTTTTTTCTTGCCTATGAGATGGGAAACATCCTGCTAGAGTACAAGGAAGAGGCTTGACTGCTACTTCAGTTTTGTAGCATTTCTTAATCTGCCCACATGAATATTGCTGCACAAGTCTTGGATGGAGAGCACATAAGTGCATTCATTTCCAAATGAAAGCAACTTGTTCCTTCCAAACCTTCTATTAATCATTCTGGAGCCTCACACTGCTGCTTGGTGTGAAAGTGATCAAAGCAAAATAGTTACTTAAAAAAAAAAACTCCCAGAAGCCAAATCATTATTGATGTTCTCAATGCATGGAAATGAAAAAAAAATGGAATATGAGACTAGAAATCTGTAATCAATGCATTGAGTGAACTCTAATGCCAAGGCATAACATAGTTTAAAACAAAACACAAGAGACCTGTCAATAGCCTTGACCTGACAACATCCAAGTGCCCTGTGGCCTTTCCTTGAATCTCCTTCCGATGGATCTTCTCTCTCATTGCTGTGTCCTTTTCACTCATTTGGCTTGGAGAGAGCTGCTATCTAGCAGAGAAGGTTCAAAGGTCTTCTGGTCTAGTAGAAAAAGCACAGGAGTAGGATTTGAGAGGCCTGGCTTCTTGTTGTAGCTATATCATGAATGACCTATGAGACTATGGGCAACTTCCTCTGGTCCCAACTTTCTCATATGAAAGTGAAGGGGCTTAATCTGAGTGGTCTCTTAATTATTTTCCTATTATAACATTCTGTGATTATTTACCAGGATTTTTGTAAAGTCTTTGAAACTCTTAGTTTTAAAGCTTTTAAAGGTAGATGGGAATCTTCAGTTGAGTTTTGGGTTCAGATAGCAGCAGAGAGAACTCTAATTGAGGGTAAAGAACTAGGTTGTCTGAGCATGGATGAGTGGGATTCTCCTGTATAGAGTAACATTTTTCATAAGGGAGGCCTGCAATCACACTAATTGTTGAAAAAGAGCAATATTTCCAGAGTCCTAGATGTCAATGCATATAAATTGCTCTACCTTTATAGGCAGAGGAGAAAATGATCACACCAAGGAATTGCAGAATTCTTTATGTATGAGCAATATTCATCAAGTATAGTTTGACATACTAAGTCTGCCATACTGCCATACTAAGCCAAGGCAACAAGTAAGACCAAGCCTGCTTCTGAGGCATTGAATCATTGATGAGTCATGATCCTTGACATTATCTAGCAATATAATGCAAGTGAAATAATAAGAGACAAGAATAATGGCAAACATGGTGGATATTGAGTTAGTAATTTATTATTTCTGTTCATTTTCACATGTGTCTAATTCCCTGTGACTCCATTTGGAGTTTTCTTGGCAAAGATACTGGAGTGGTTTGC